ACTTAGACTCTCGTAGACCATAGGTTTCTAGTGACCATAATACTAGGTGGCAACTCCTAAATATTAATTATAATTTTATGATTAAATCCAAAACCCTTTCCAACACATAACACTTCACATAGGAGGTACGACAAAATCCTCCACCATTGCCAGACGCTCGCGCACCCCTCGAAAAGGATTGCATATTGTATGGCCGGCGCTTGGTCACCTCGTGACAATTATCGAATAAAAACTACGTGGGGACTGATTAGTACTTAAAAGTGCATTTTTATCATGGTTTTATATCATCATTTTGCACTTGAAATATCAATAACTCCTTAACTAAAATATGTTTTATAATAATGTATCTAATAATATAAGATACCTATAATTTGTGGTAAATATCTATTTTTAATGCAGGCCTATCACATAAATGAAAGGATTGATTGATGACTTGAAGAACTTAAATTGCATGGATAAAGAGATGGTCAAACTTAGAGAAGAGATGTCGGTGCAATCCAAACCGGAACACTGTTCGGTAATTGGGTCATATCTGGAGCTACAGATCTCAGATTTAGGTCAAATTTATATGGATGGAAAGGTAAGACATAGGCCTACAACTTTCATATGGAGCCCAAGATCTAAAAAGGCCATTATCAAGTCCAAATTGTAGCAACAACAAAGAAGCCCGAATCTGTCTTCCAGCCCGAGCACTGTTCGGTATTTTGGCCATATCTAGAGTTCTAGAAGTCCAAATGAGCTGAAATTTTTACACAAGAAAGCTGAGACAATTGCCTACAACTTTCATGTTTACAACTGGCTCCAATTTTGACGTTATCAATGACGTTTTGGGCAGACAAGAGAAGATAAGGATTGTCACCAAGTCAAAAGTTGGTCACCCACTTATCAATTAGTCATCAAATCAATAGTTCCCATTTTTGGCCTATAAAAGGAGGCATTTGCCATGCATTTAGGCATCTTGATTTCCAGATCAAGATCATGCTCTTCCTTTCTCTCTTTGTATTTTTTATGCTTTGTTTTCATTAATATTAAGTTTATGCCTTTCATTTCCTTTCCTTTACTTAGTTAACTTTTATGTTCTTATTTTGTTTATCTATTTTGCTTTCTTTCATTATGTCTAGCTAAGTTAATTATGTCAAGGTGAAAAGGTTACACTAATGGTGTAAGAATAAGTATAATGTAAACTTAATATGGACTTTAATGTTTGATACTAACATGTTTTATATTTGCTATCTTGTTCACTCTTTAATACTTTGCTTGTTAAATGACTAATCTTGATTTATGTTACATAACACTTGGTACAACAAATGTTTGGCACTTTCATAGCCCATAATGTATGGTATAACCGACACCTGAGCTATGAAAGGAACTTGATTTGTTGTTAACATAAGTTATAATCATGAATGCTTGACGAGATTTACAAGTATTAGCATTAATTGAATAAGATGACTAATGTAATCATGTTAACAATATATAATCTGATTGGAACCTCCTTTGTGTGTGGTTTCCAATTCAATAATAAGAGTTTATACTATACTTGTTTGATATACCATTAGTGGAACCTCTAACCTTGACATTTGTTATTATTATTGTTTAATCCTTACATTAATTTTCCATCTCCAAGTTCTCATCATCTTCTTCTTCTTCTCTTTCTTTATTATTATTATTATTATTACTACTACTACTACTACTACTACTACTACTACTACTACTACTACTACTACTACTACTACTACTACTACTACTACTACTACTACTACTACTACTACTACTACTACTACTACTAAAACTACGTGGGGAAACATGGCGTTTGGGCTGCTGCCCGAGGGTAGGGCACACCCCCCTATAGTCACGTGACGCTTGAGTCCAACCTTAGTGCTGCGCCCACGTGGCATTTGGGCTGTGCTGGGTGTGACCCATGCTCGTGCCCCACTTAGGGTCACCTGGCACTTGAGTAGTGCAGTTGGACCTAAGGAGAATGGGTCCGATGTCATGACCTAAAATCAATGGGTCTTACGTCAGGACCCAATTGTTATTGGCCCTCCATCAAGACCCAAGGTTCCTAGGTCTTATGATTCTAATATTATTATTTTTTTTAAAAGTTTTATTATTTTTATTATTAATAATATTATTAATAAAAATAATTAATAAATTTTTAAAAAATATATATTATTATTAATATTAAAAACATATTATTATTTATATTATAAATTTTTTTAATATTTAAAAAAAATAAAAAATGAGCCCGCAACGCAGTATTATTAAAAATAGTCAATAAGTCTAGGTATTAATATAAAACATATTATAATTTGCATTGTAAATATTATTATTTTCCTTATAACACAAAGTATTCGTATAAAACATACTATTAGTTTTTCTTATTATTCAAATTATTCATATCAACATATTATTATTATTCTTATAATTCAACATATTCATATCAAAGGTATTGTTATTGGTGTTACAATATTATTATTTAGTAGTGCAGTTGGACCTAAGGAGAATGGGTCCGATGTCATGACCTAAAATCAATGGGTCTTACGTCAGGACCCAATTGTTATTGGCCCTCCATCAAGACCCAAGGTTCCTAGGTCTTATGATTCTAATATTATTATTTTTTTTAAAAGTTTTATTATTTTTATTATTAATAATATTATTAATAAAAATAATTAATAAATTTTTAAAAAATATATATTATTATTAATATTAAAAACATATTATTATTTATATTATAAATTTTTTTAATATTTAAAAAAAATAAAAAATGAGCCTGCAACGCAGTATTATTAAAAATAGTCAATAAGTCTAGGTATTAATATAAAACATATTATAATTTGCATTGTAAATATTATTATTTTCCTTATAACACAAAGTATTCGTATAAAACATACTATTAGTTTTTCTTATTATTCAAATTATTCATATCAACATATTATTATTATTCTTATAATTCAACATATTCATATCAAAGGTATTGTTATTGGTGTTACAATATTATTATTTTTATAAGAATTCAAATTTTTAATATAAAAAATATTATTATTTGCGTTTTCAATATTCTTGGAATTAAAAATAGAATTATTTGTGTTATGAATATTATTATTTTTACTATAATCAAAAGTATTATTATTAAAAATATTATATTTGGTGTTATAAATATTATTATTTTTATAATAATTAATATTAATAATAAAAAAATTTAATAAATTAGAAACAAATTATTCATAATATTGAAAAACAATAATATATTTGATTTGAAAGGTAAAACTAAAAATTACTATTACTATTATTATTATTATCATCATTAATAAATTTTAAACAACTGTTATTATTATCGAAGGAAAACTACGTGGAGACAAGTAGCTCTTGGGCTGCTACTTGGGGTTGGGCACACCCCTGCACCATGTGGCACTTGAGCTACTGCAAGGGGGTAGGGCACACCCCTTATACCATGTGGCGGTTGGGCTACTACCTGAAGTGCACACGTGGTGCTTGGCTGCCTACCTAGTGACATGGCACACCCTAGCGCACATGTGGCTCTTGGGCACACCAAGACCCAACTATGGCCCTGTATATTGCAGAATTCAAAATAGCCTTGGGTCGTTGGCAGTGCAAGGCTCAAAATAGACTTAAGTCCTGCGTGTACAGGATCCAAATAGTCTTTGGTCCTGCCAACATCAGAATCCAACTTTTTAAGAAAATAAAAGGTGAGCCCATGGCGTAACGCAAGCCACCTAGGGGCGGAATCAAGAAGAGGTAAGCAGGGGTCAGGCCCGTGCAAAAAAAACATATAGTGACTGATTCTATAGGTTAGTTTTTTATTGCTTAGTGATAGTGTGAGAAGATGTAATATTTAAATAGGTGGGCCCTTCTAATAATAAATATATTTGTTGTCCATTGACTTTAAAAATATTTACGTGGAAAGAAAAAAATATGAAGTTATAAATAAATTTTTTAACTTAAAGGATTTTGTCGTTTTCACTTATTGTAGCCCTAATATAAAAGATAAAATATAGAAATAAGAATATAAATTGCAAACAAAAAGATTGAAGTCAGGCGCTATCAATTAGTTCTTCTTTCATCAAACAAATCAAGGTAATTGAGCATTGCTAACCCCAAACCTAAATTTGTTTTTGTCTTGTTTTGGAATGTTTGTTAAGAATTTGATGATGTTTTCTTTATAATTCTGTTATTTTTTCTTCTTTTTTGTTTTTTTGCTCGGATTTACTAGTTTTACCAAATTTATTTTTGAATTCTTGTTATAGTGATTTTTTTTCTAATTAATTAGATATATTTTATTGGTTTATACTTGGATTTTTTTATTAAAATAAATATGTAAAAATCATTCTTTATTATTTTTTACGTTTATCAAACATAAATAATACTTCACTTTATCTAATGTTTCTTATATATTTTGGATATTTATATTTGATTGGTATAAATATCAACAACATTAAAGTGATGAATACATTATAAAGATAAAATTAACTTAATCGTTTTGACTCAATTTAATATTACTCAAAACCTTTTACTTTATGCAAAGTTCATAATATGTTTGTATTATTTTATAACTCATGTATAATAAATTAAAAAATATATATATTATATTTTATTATATTAATTTTGAACCCATAACAAATAATCCTACCTGTACCCCTAAGGACACCTAGTAAACTACGATAACAAATCAGCTTGAAAAAGAATCAACTGGGGTCTTGCTTTTAGGGTAATTCATTGATTTCTGAACCATGTATAAGACTCGGGTTGGAGCATGTGTTGATGGAGCCATGGCACAGCTTGGATATGTTGAGACCGACTCTTCTGGTCGAATACACGCCATAACATTTTTCCCGATCCAACCAAAGACTCCGCCTCCCCCCTCCCTCGCTGCCAAAAAAACAAAGTCTTTGTTTACACGCAAAATTGAACTTCGGAAGAAGGACAGGGCCTTTTTTTGTTTTATTTAAGGACATGATACAGGGCTAATTGAAACTATAAAATACGTACATCATTCCTCCCAAAGACTACTTCCATAACCATCATCAAGACTTGCATAATATAGAAATTTAGCTATTTTTCTTTCTGTTTATTTCTTCGAGTAATATTTTGTTTCTGTGATTATGGCTACTAGGCAAGCACCATTCAACCCGGTTCCAGCTATGAGAACATACCCGCCAGTGGAGCATCCTGTGGTGGCAATAGGGCCACAGTACCTGGCACAGTACCCTGTTGAACTCGCCGTCTCTACGAAGCTATGGACTCTTGGAGAAAATGATTTTAAGGTGTCTGACATTAATGGCACCCTCATCTTCCATGTCAAAAGTAAACTATTAACCCTCCATGATCGTCGTTTTCTGAAAGATGCAGCCGGTAACACCCTTGTCAATCTCAGGCAGAAGGTATGTTTAATTGCTCTCTGTCATTTGTTCTCTTCTTTTTCAATCTAACCATCACAACAACGATAAGAGTTAGTCCGATATCAATTTCTTACCGCGTGTTTAATTTATCATTTTCTCCAGATAATGACCATGCATGGGAGGTGGGAGGCTTTTAGAGGAAAAAGCAAGAAGAAGAATGATTTGCTTTTCACAGCCAAGAAATCAAAGCTGTTCCAATTCAAGACTGAGTTAGACGTATTCTTGGGTTATAACAAAGGAGAGGTCCCTGATTTCAAGGTCAAGGAAAGCTACAGCAAGAGTTCCTTTTCTATACTTCTTGGAGATTCCAATACCATGCTTGCACAAGTAACATTAACAAAACTTATTTATGAAATATGACAATATTGAATTAATTTAACCAACACCATCTTTCCATACAAAACTATATGCAGGCGGAGCTAGGATTATCTAATGGAGGGGTCAAAATTTATATAATAAGATATAAAATTAATTTTATCTTTATAATATTTTCATCATTTTAATATATTCTATATGTCTGTGGCTGAGGCTGAGGCTGAGGCTGGTGTAGAAAAACCCCAGATTTCATCATTTACATTAAAACCGATTTAGAAATACCCCAGATTTCATCATTTACATTAAAACCGATTATTGTTTTAATCAAGAAAGTTGTCTTCATAATTAATATCTCATGCCAGTTTTTTTCTTATTATGTGAACGCAGGTGCATGGAAGACACACTCTCGCGATTATGCCTAATGTTGATTATGCCTTCATAGTGGCTCTTGTAGTGGTGATTCTCGACGCGATCAAATACGGTTGATTATGGGGACGCGGCCATTAGCTGTTTTATCAATGGATTTGTTTGCTCGGCGTAAAAAACACACCCACCGACAGAAACTATCTCTCGGCATATAGATCATCAATAATTTCTCTTTTTATTGTAATTCTCTCGGTAAAAAATAAAAAATAAACACTAATAATCATACAGATGGAAAAATCAGGTGAAAAACAAATTTCACTAGAAATATATTAACAAAATAATTTAGTTTGTATTTCAAGCAGTAACTCACTGAAAATAAAGTTTCATTGATGAATGTAGCATAGGAAGTAAATATTTTGTAACTTTCTATAAAATATCAATGGTTTCAGCTATTGGTGTAGATATCAATGATAGTGACATATACAGTAAATATTTTTTAACTCTCTCTAAAATACTGATGAACCACGTGCGTCTGGAAATCCATTGGTTGTGATTTAAAAAAAAAATTATTTAGAATAAATAATATAAAATTATATAAATTAATAGTAAAAAAGCAATTATGCAAATAAAATTGTATGAAACATTAAAAATATAAAAATAAAGTTAAATAACATTTATCCAAATATTCATTACAAATTTAATGTGTTTTTAAAAAAAAATTAAACGAGAACAATGATGGAGCTAGAGGAGGAGGATGAGGCTAGTTGTTCCCAGGAATAAACGGCCAAAAAGAAGGCATTCATGTATCATTCATCTATGATCTAATGTCCATGATCATTTGGTGGAGTTGTTCATAATCCACCGAGAGTCGCTCATATTATTGTATCATGGCCATGAATTCCTCATAATGGGTGCTCGATACTAATTGGGAGCTCCCAATGGTTGAAATACTATAAGCCGCCCACAAGTTCTCAATCGTAGTGTTGCAGAGCTCATACACCCAATTTTTATCAGGTTCACTAGACGATCCTACCTCTAACCACAAATTTGAATGGGTCGAAGGATGATCCCCATATCTCTCTCTCAACCGGCTATTAGAGGTCTCTTGAAAATTAAAAAAGAAATCATCATATTCAATTCAAGAAAATAATAACTTGTGAAATAAAATGGTTGAACGAACATATCATGAAGTGTTGAGCGCTGTTGATAATGAACTGTTGCACCCTCATTTGGCGATTTGCACTCTACGCGTGCTTCTCTACAAATAGCTCCATTGGACTTGGCTCACGTTCAAGAGACGTAGCCTGTAAGAAAAAAAAATGTTGCAAGTTAAATATATTTATAAGTAACAAAAAATTAATTGATGAAATATTTCATTTAAATTAATCTTACCATCAATTTCGCATGTGCATTGAACGGAACGGAGCTGCCGGTGTGCGTGGTCACCTAACCATGAATTTGCTGGTTCTGGTTGTTGAAACCAGACTGTGAGTGTCATGTGAACCACTCAAACGTCACGTGCTCAATATATTGCGGTTATATATCCCCCGAGATGTATGGCGGTTTGAAATCCCTCCAAACCGTCATGTCATTCCAGCCTTGTAGACTGTTACCTCTGGCATATTTTTTAGCTTTTTTTGTGTCATACCAAAAATCACACAACCTACTTTCATAGTGCAAATTTAGATTTCAAAATATGAAATTATATAAAAAAAAATTATATTGTTTTCGATGTTACCTAATTGTCATATAACTCTCCCACACCCTCCTCGCAACATTGTCATCTGCGTTATCCTACTCGAATTTATACTGTGTATAAATAATTTATTTAAAATAAAAATAGTACCAAATATAAAATTATAAAAATAATTTATTAAAAATAAGTTGAAAATTAGAAGTTAATACCTACCTGAAATCTTCGAAACCATGCATCGATATAAGGTCTCCAATCACGATGTCTAGAAAGCTGACTCCATTGAAATAATGGAATCTCCATCGACAATTTAAACACCGATGTTATTACTCGAGTGACCTCAATGTTTGTGAACCTAAAAATATTAAAATATTAGTTAGTTGTTCACAAATTATCTTATAAGTATAAAAAAATTAAAACTGAAACAAACTTACATTAAAAGGTTGTCCTTCCAATGTGTCAAGTACTTGCGAGAGAATTGACCCCGCTGTGAAAGCACACTACCTCTGAGCTATGAAATCGCGCTGGAACAGGCAGCATCGTGAGTGGGTGCAGGTGCCTCTTCTTGATTGGCACCTAAGGATAAGTCATTCTCTCTGCTAGAAGAACTAACTACAACCATATGCTAACGACATGCTATTGATTTCTTTCAACGCATCTACACAAATTTATACGAATAATTACATAATTAAATTTGAATATTTAAAAAAAAATCAGCAACACCTCCCCTATACTGAAAACTACCTAAAATTTTCAAACCTGCAAATATTGACAATAGCCATAAACCAATTGACTACATTGAAAAATCTTATATATAACATAACATCTATACAAATTTAACAAAAAAAATATAGCAAAACAATAACATTTAATTTTATATATTCAAGTAACATGAATAGAAATTCATCAATAATAATTAAAATTAATGGAAATAATCAAACACATATCGAGCAATAATATAGTAAAATTGAGATAAAATAATTAAATTTAATCCTATATTTTCAATTACAATTTACAAGTTAAATTCAAGAATAACAATTAAAATTCAACAAGATAATCAATTATTATAGCATTAAAAACAATAAAATAGATAACAAATTAAAAAAAAAACAATCAGCTTTAGGAATGAAAAATGCTTAGCTTAATAATGTGTTTATTTATAGACTTTATCTACATACAATACAAAAAAAAAATGTTAATAAAACAAAGAAAAGATGAAAAAAATCATTACATATATTGAATCAAATACATACCTTTTAATTTGTTGAAGATAAGAATAGAACCATAAATAGAGATTAAAGGATAAAAAAATAGAGAGAATTAGAGATTGAAAGCTAAAGAAATGAAGAAGAGGAAAATGAACTGAAGGGGCGGTTGTTGGAATTTATGCTATATTTTTACCGATGACATATTTAAACAACAATATTTTTAATTATTCCGTCAGTGAATTATCAAACATCGGTCGGTAAATTTTGAATTTCACACTAAAAGTTTTAAATCACGCTCTAGAATTTTCACAGTCTGTCGGTATATACACGCAGTCAGAGAGCCATTAATGCCTGCGCTTTGGAATTTGCACAATCCGTCGGTGAGTCTATTAGTAAGTGTCAACTGCACCGACATAGAACTCTAATAGTCATGCCTATATAACATACCATGGTATAGGCGTTTGTGATTGTGGTAAATGCAATAAATATTTTGAAATTCTTGGTAAACTATTGACGAACAATATTCATCTATATAGACATCAGTAATGGTGGCAAATGTAGTAAATATTTTACAACTCTTTGTAAAATACCAACAGACTTTTTCCGTCTGTATGGACGTTAGTGATTGTGGCAAATGCAGTAACTCTATGTAAAATATCAACTGACAGTATCTGTCTGTATGGAAGTTCGTGATGGCACACTGTGCGTAACAAATTATGTTTGTATTGCCTATTTATCCTCTTACAAATGCTTAAATTGCAAACTTCCTGCACAGTACAATAACAACAATGAACAATTATAAAATAAATATTTCATGTTACAAAATATCATCCATAATATTACATTATAAAAAAATAATTTACAATTTCGTGCTCTAATAGTTGGTTAGAATTTTCTTCTTCTTTGTCATCAATTGAATCGTGATCACCTCTATCGCACTCTTCAATGTGGATATCATCATCATCTTTATTGACATTTGCTTGTCTGCTGAGCTCAGAACAACATTCAACTCCTCTATGTCAACATCAACAAGACTATCATCGAAAACATGAAAAATTGAATTTTCTTCCAAGTCAATCGAAGGAGCAACTCGATATGGTTCAATCAACTCACTAACTTGAAAGACTTCATCTTGCACACTTGTATATTCGTACTCATCCTAAACAACCTCGACACAACCCCTGAATTTTGTTTTTAAAATGGATTACCAATCAACTCTTGATCAGTCCTTTCTAAAAGAAGGGGTGTATGTGTAATAAACTTGGTAACATTGCTTTGCGAAAACAAAGATATTGTTTACGTTGCGGAGTTTAGGTTTTGAGTTGATTTCAACCACACCATAGTAAGGATCTACTTTGATTCCTCTATCAGTGGTGTCATACCAATAACATTTGAATAAAAACACTCTATTCTGCTCGCTATGATATTGCAATTCAACGACCTCTTCTAATTTACCATAATAGCTAACTTCAAACTCACTACAACATGATCTCTTAACACAAACACCGTTGTTGTATGTCTTTCTTCCATGCCTGTATTCTACAGTATTCTTCCATGCCTGTATTCTACAGTATGAAACATATATCCATTGACAAAATACTCATTGCAGCACTTAACATTTCTTTCACGGCCTAGGCTTAGTAAAGACAATGAAATACCATCACTCCCTCCCATTTGATAAAACCTTCTCTATCAAGTACAACAATAATCAATAAACGAGAATTATGTAATATTGACATACAGTAACCTTGCAAAAGATAATGAGTTTGTGATAGTATTTACATGTGTTCTGAACCACGTGGTAAATTGTTCATCTTGTAATTAAAATATTTGGGATTCGGTTCGTTGTGAGTTATTGGACAGTAAATATTGTTGATGTTGCCTACAAGCAGGGGTGGAGCTAGGATTATTTTTTAGGGGCGAAAATTAATATAATAAGATATAATATTTTTTTAATTTATTGTACATGAGTTATAAAAAAAAAACAAACATATAATGACTTTTGCATAAGGTAAAAGGTTTTGAACAATACCAAAATAAATCAAAGTGATGAAATTAATTTCATCTTCATAAAGTATCTATCACTTTAATTTTGTTGGCCTTTATACCTATCAAATATAACCATACAAAGTATATAAGAAACATTAGATAAAGCAAAGCATTATTTATGTTTGATAAACTTTGAAATAAAGTAAAAAATAATAAAGAATGATTATTAC